GACAAGGAATATCAGGTTCCCAACAGGGGGCTATAATCTTTCAAACAGTAAAATTATTGTTTTGTATGTTCAACTTATGCTCACACATGAAAATGTTGGCTCTCATGAAATGGTGCAGAATTTATTGTCTGTAACAGTGCATTTACAAGCACTACAAAACAAGGTCATTACAAAACATAATTTTTCCCAGTACAAAGCAAAGTTGCAGTATTATTATTAAACAATATAATTTGTCAACTGTAAAAAAACATTGATAGCCTATAAATTAAGCTATATATTGCATGAAATTTAAGGCAAAACAAGGTGGAGAACTAACATTTCCAGCTATTATATTATCACTTTGTCATTATTAAATACATTTAGTATAAAATAAAATATTTTTACATAAATTAAGAGCCTTTGATGAAATTGATATAAAATCAATAAAGTAAGTCTATTAAATAGAGTATATTATAAAATAATTTATATTTTATAATATACTATATTTAATATAATATTATGTATGGCATGGACCCATCTTGCATTGAACAACCACACAGACACTCATTCACGATCAGGATTTTCTCATTTGTAACTGAAAGATGCAAGACATCACTCACAATTTTTGTAGATTTGTACAATTATAAACGGTACAGTCTCTCGCATAGCCTTTCGCCTGTCTTTGTTTATACTCTGTATATAATTAAATGAATTTAAATCTCGTATATAAAATGTCCCTTCGGCTTCGGCGATTTCAATCTTTAAATAATCCAATGTCCAATTTTGTGCAGCTTTTTAATACATTGTGACACAACATCGAACATCTTTTATATTAAAAATAAAATTTCCATTGATAGACAGCAGATTTCAACGACCAAAACGACTCCTCGTCTCCTTTGAAGAGTTAATACACTCCTATCTACTCCTATAGTCAGCCATATTTATTAGTAAAAGTTCGTGTTCAATTTCCGCATTCCATTGTTTTCATGCGACCAATCAAATCACTTCTCGTTTTGGTTTTCGCCAGGGCCTCCGGCAACGCAGTGTCAGCCGTGAGGCCCTGGGACCGAGGATGGTTTTTGCCTGGGGACTCCACCGGAAGTTGGGCATCTCGGTTTATACTCGGTCCAGTCTGATTTCTGGCAATAACACGCGCGTTGTTTTTTCGCAAGCGAAGGAGTGAAGCTAGAAGTTTCCAAAATATACTGAGCTTTTTTGAGCGACAATCCTTCAAATAACGAGTTTTTGAGGCAACATGACGAGTAGGAAAGAATACCACGCTAGCAGGGATGCTTACATAGTGTATCAAAGTGTATCTATTTTATTGTTTTCCTCGATGGAGAGCGTGCCATTTCTGTCTGCGTTTCCCCATGAACCTACATCCTCTGATCCTCAAGCTTCTACTAAAGGTTTTCAAGAAAAGAATCCAAGAAGGATTGGACATTTCACCCAACATAGCTGCTATTCACTCCCTTCACTGTGGACACTTCAGTGAAATCGCTTGTTGAAGCCCATCAATCGAGGTTTTAATGACTATAAAATTCTCTTTATTCACTATTTTAATTATACACTATAGTTACATACGAACTGTTCTATCTCTTTTATTTACAAACTGAAACCCATATAATTAAGGCCTAAAGATATGATACTCGTGAGTAGGAGTTGTCAATGAAAAAGTGTTAATGAGCAATTTGGAGTCAACATGTTTTGGATGGCTGTTTATATGGTGTTTATTGTCAGAATGATAAATGATATAAATCAGTTAATCTACTTGACCGTGCTTTACTGTCTTTGACTGTCTTCTCATGGAAAAATTGTGCTCACTTAATAGAAACACATAAAAGTTTCTCTGATCAAAGTATATTTTAATCAAAGCAGCTTACAGCCCTCGAAAACGAGGTCGGCATTCGGCAATGCCGATCTAAATGCCGACCTATCAACCTCCCAGGCCGGCAAATTTTTGCCGACGTTAATTCAGCAAAAGTAAGAATTTTTTTGTGCTGATAGCTGTTAAAAAGTCAGCGATTATAAAATCAGTTGATTCGTAGTTCGATAACTAAACACACTTTGGTGTAAGGTTTAAAAATTGACTTTTAAAAATTAAATTAAATTAGCTCAGGTAACCGGGCTGGCTCGCCTCCATATAAACACCGCCTAAGACATTTAGTTTATAAAACATTTTGATCACAGAAACTTATATGATGTAAACAAACTCAATTAATAATTACTAGTATATTTTTTCACCCTAATTGTGACTAAAAGCTTGCATATAAGAACCTACAATTTACTAGAACCTGTCAGGCTAAAATTTTTTATTTAGACACCCTAAATAAGAATTTGTTTAGGCTAGCAATTCAGGTTTTTATTTTATCACATGAAGACAAATCAAATCTAAAAATGTATATAAATCAAAGAAAATAAACTCTTCACAAAGTCAAAGTAATGAAATGATCCAGAACACTGAAAATGTCATTGAGATAAATAAAGTGTTAGCAGCTTTACCGTTACCGCGGCATAGCTATTAGTTAGATAATTTGTGCGCAATTTATATATATGTATATACATGTAAATTATACCTCGGATACCAAAAATGAGTCGCTTTTCTTTAAGAATTTAACCTAATTTCCAAGCTCTAATGATCATGTAGTCACTACATGTATTGTCCAAGGTGGGATCTGGGGGTTTGAAATCCGAGCTTTCTTTCTCCTAGATGGATTGCCTCCTACACAAAGCAATCTGAAACACAAGCCACTTCATATTGTACTATGATTGCCTAATCTTGTGTCACAAAGAGTGGCACCATCCCATATATAGGTATATATTGTCAGAACAAGCTGCCATGCCCATGGCCTGTTTTGTGACATGAAATCAGACAACACAGTAAAACCCTAGACTAGACAGTAAAACCCTAAGAACCTAGATTTTTTCCAAGTTAGCCTAAACAGGTTCTTATGTGAATGGTGCTTACCTGAATTCATGTCACAAACTGTAATTATATTTAGTATATTCAGTACTTTCAGGGGGGGAGCACAAGCCCTTGAGTCATATTCATGCCTATCCCTTGGATATATGTGTTTTAATAATAATTGTTTATAAATTATTTGTATTATCATATAACCCAATAAATCTGTTAAGAAAAAGAAAGACTGATTCGTTGATGTAAATAAAAATTTCATCAGTGTTTCATGAACATTCTGATGGGCTCTGATATACAGCGAAACAGCATATATTTAGCAATTGTCCTCTGTCTTGAAGAGATATGATGAACTAACGTGATCACTAGATTGACCAGAATTGTTCAAGTTAATATTGCTATTAGATCATTCAGTGCTGACAAGAATATCATCATTTAGTGTCAATATGAGAGTAATATCAATGAATTCATACTTCCAGTTCATAATTTCAAAACACATATTTATAACACAACTGAAAAGTTGAATATAATCTTAGCGTCTCGTACTCTCGTCACTGTCAATCTATTGAACTCTTTTGTTGTTTATAACGAAATCATCTCCATAGCGCGCACGAGCTTGGACAAATAAAGCTGTATATCCATCTTTTGCACGGTCAAAAATTTCGCCCTTGGCTTTGCCACGAAGACAGGAACTGCAACCACATTCTCAATCACACTTGTTTCGAATTTCGTCAAGCGAAAAGCTTTACCCAAGGCCAAGCGCTCCTGTCATAATGACAACAACAACACTGGCAACATGTTTCGAGGGATTGATACCGCATTAAATATATTCATGATGAGACACTCCAAAGGTAAACACAAATTATTCGAACTCACACCTTCGGGATTTCGGTTTGCCGCCCCAGCTGTTGATATAGCAAGTCCCACAACGTTCAAAGCGGCCTCTTTATAACTTTATTCACGATGTTTACAGTTATACAGTTACAGTATAAGATTGTGTTTATATTGTGTACAAAAATTTCCAGTGTAGAAATGTAGAAGAAATGAAGCGAAGTATTGTCAAACATTGCACTCCTCGGTCACAAATTATGTGGAATGTTACTTTGAACTCGTCATATACTTCATCTTATATAATTAATGTGGATCAAAACAAAAAACGTAAACAAAGCCCGCGCATGCGCAGAAAGGACTGTAACCTACCTTTAAGATTACGTAAGAAATAAAACAGTATTAAAATTAATATATACCTGTCTGACAATGGGCTTTTCCACCTTTTACAATGCATTTTGTTCCATTCCCGCACCTCACGGTTGCACAAGGGTCCACTACAATACATACATCAAAATAACAATACACATATATACAAATTAATTACGATTTAATCTTTATACCTGTATGATAATGCGGTTATAAACTGATATCGTTTATAAAATTAAAAACAATAATTATCACTTATTTACTGAGACCGAGGGAAACAGTGTGTTTTGTGGACCCGAGACCGTCGATGTTTCCCGAGGCGAAGCCGAGGGAAACATCGATGGTCGAGGGTCCACAAAACACACTGCTTTCCCGAGGTCTCAGTAAATAAGTGTTTTATTATATATCAATAGTCAAAGAAACAACAAATTAAAGAACAAATGAACGTAAATACATGAAATATTTTATTGTTAAAACGTTATATTAAACACTGGCTACACTGCAGTTACTTAAAGCGAAAGTTTTAATTACGTACTATATAGGCATGTCCAAAGGTCGCATGGTGGATAACGTATTATCTCCCTCTCGCGCTGTTGCGAAGGAGACAGCCTAATTTCGTCACTTTCACGTGATATGCTCTCAACCAATAAAACACTAGAAAAATGCGACTTTGACTATTGATATATAATAATATATATTAATTCATTACCAGAATTATGGGACAAGATGGCGACGGACATGCGCACTTTGACCAAATATGGCGGCCAAATATTACTATAAACTATATGGGGGTTGATCAAAATGTCAAATTTTAATATACTTTGTTTAAATATTTCATGGTTGCCGAGTTCGATTATAGTAGCGACACGAACAAGCAATATTTCTAAACAAAAATCGCTGGTATTGGACGCATCTAGCTGGTTCCTGAGAATGTTGTATTTTTACTCGGAATTCGATGAATTTCATAGTGTAATTTGTAGTAAACTTGTGACACAAGAGGTAAATATCCGACGAATAGACCAACATCCATTCGGGCGATGCAAAGTGCCGAGTTCGCGATATATTTAATGATGTCCAAACTGTTAATTTAGCTAAATAAATCGCTGTAATTTCCAGGGAAACTGGTTCCCGAAACGTTTAAAAGTTCGCCTTTTACGGTTCTTGTATGTTGCCATTAGGCCATCTTAATATCCAAAAACGACAAGTTTTAATACAAATTTCCAAATGCGTCAAGTTTTAGGATAAGACATTTGGCGTCGAGTTGGGTGTAGAGCCCTACAGCGCTACGCCGGAAGAGTGTTGAGTATTAGAAGCATTTCCTGTTATTCGACTTGGTACATTTATACTTCATCGATTAAAAAACGATTTAAAAATATAAAGTAATAGCAAAAAGTGTGTGATAGTCGTATGTGTTGTGCTTTGTTTGATGCGTTTTATACGGTTTGTTCGTTCAAGATTAATACATAGTCAGTTAGTCACGGTATACATAGTGTTGAAGTCATCACAGACCGCGATCAGTCTTCGAGCAGTAGCCGTCGTTGGATAGTCAGATGGGCATTTGGCATGCTGGGATGGGAGAATTCCAGACCACTTCCAGCATGCATAGTAAATGCATAGTAACTGCACTGCTTTATAGGGTTAGATAAAACAGATGCAAACAAGATTGCGACATTGCGTGCGAGTGCTGGTGTGAGTTTCGTGACGTCGGTAGACGCGCTATGTCTGTTGCGCAAAACATGCAAGCGTTTCTTGCTGAGGTTTTCTAGAGGCGATATAAATACTAATCAAATTCTGGTCTATTTCGTGTACAAAAACACGCAACTAGATGTAATAGATTCTCAATGTGAACTTAACGAACGGTTGTGAGTGAACGTAAATTATATTATTATAATGAAGTAGAGCCCATCATTACTCATTAGAAGCAGCTATATTAAAGTCCACACTATATAATCAGTGCAATTCAAAATTTGTTTGTTTTGGAATGGTCATGTTATGGCATGATGTCAGTAAATGTAGATATTTAGTATTAATTTTCATGTTATGCTTACACTAGTTTATACTACAATGTTTGCCATAATTAATATCAGCTATAGCTTCTACATAATATGCGGTCTGAAACCTACAACGTAGACATAGTCTCTTGTCTCATAGAATTTGTATTTTCGGCCGCTTAATATACGCTACAACTCGTCATGTTGTAATTATATTGTATCTATACATTGAAAGCGATGTCTACAGAAAGTGGATTCGTTTGAATTTTCTTCAAAATCTCTCAAAACCCAATTCTACACTGACGAAGCTATAATTTTCATAGTGTTTACATATCGAAAGATCGCAATGTGTCACACTGCACACGTCACTGGCCGCGCGATGGAATGTCAGGAATTTCGCCAGTAGATAGTCTCAAAATCGAACTTTAATCGTAAAATTAACAAACTTCTGGTTCGAATTTGTCAACAAGGTTGGTATTTTTGTGATCGGAAAAGACCAAATTTTCAGAAAATGCAAAAAACCCGATATAGAAATTTTCATTTCATATACACTTATTACAATGTCAAACCGTGGTCAAACAAATCCTTTTTCCCAAACAATTCGTGAGAGAAAGCGAATTAGAAATGAAGTGAACGAACCTTTGTCGATGTTGGCAAATATGCCCAGTAAAGAAATTCGAACTTGCACCGATAGATATCTGAAAATGTCGTCACAATTGTATTGTCTAATGTCTTTACGAGGTTCATCCAGAAAGACGACTTTTAATAAAAGGCACCGAGTAATGTGGCGTACTTGGAGGTATTATTTAACAATTATTCGCCGAAGGCGTAGTGATTATCGGTGAATAAAAACCAAGACGAAGTCGAGGTTTTTATTCACGATAATCACCCAGCCTGAGGTGAATAATTGCTTTAGTATAATTTCATAGGTGATTATTGGGGGGGGTAGGAATACACATTTCTTCGTCATTTACTTGAAAAAAAAATAGCTTCGGCCGCCATTTTGAAAATCGCTTAGGTGATTATCGCTTTATAATCACCTCATCGGCAACCAATCAGCGTGGAGAATTTTCAATAATCATCTATGTAATTATACTAATATCTAATATTATACGGAGGATATATGTATAGTCTGTCAGTACCCCCCCCC